TGCTTCAGGTGATTTGGCAAGCTATTCCAGAGTCTTGCAGAGCGAATGAAGTAACTATTTTGGAAACATTTGGTTCTAGATCGGGGAACTTGGAGATTAAGCCGACAGGAATTTCTGAGGTTGTTTACTGGAAGAGAAGGAAGATAGCGGTCGAGATCAATGTTGTATTTTCCATAGGTACATGCGTGAAGAAACAGTAGATCCTTGATTTCATGCCAGTAGGATATTGGAAGTAAATTTGTTCGAATCAAACGTTCATTGTATGGGACAGAGAACCTTGGTGTGCCGAGGATGTAAGAGGTAGCCCGTCGTTGAACTCCTTCAATGTTCCTCATCTGGTGTATACCCTGTCCAGACCATACTTCACTAGCGTAGTCGATGTGAGGACGCACAAAAGTCAAGTAAAGCAATCTTTTGGATTCTTCACTAAAGGACCGTGTATTTCTTTTCAACAATCCGAGCATCCTGTAAGCCTTTCCAACCGCTGCCGATGTATGCAGATTCCACTTGAGGTCAGACGTCACCAGGACGCCAAGATCCTTCTGGCTGGTGGTGGATTTTATTGCATTGCTACCTACTTTATAACCAAGGCACACTGGAGTTCTCTTCCTGGAGATAGTCAGCGTTTCACACTTCAACTCGTTGAACCTTAGTTTCCATGTCTGAGTCCAGTTGTAGAGATGATCCAGGTTAGTTTGAAGAGAGATAGCATCACTACAATCACGTATGGTATGGGAGCACTTTGTGTCATCAGCATATAGAAATAGCGAGGAATTATTGATTGGTACTGATGGAAGATCATTAACATAAATTACAAAGAGAAGTGGACCAAGGATCGAACCCTGCGGTACACCAGATAAAACGGCACAGGAATCAGAAATGTGGCCGTCCACTATAGTTCTCTGGGTACGGCTGGACAGATAGTCAGAGAACCAACCAAGGAGGCTTCCACCAATGCCATAAGATTTAAGTTTATGGACCAGTAGTATGTGGTTGACGCTATCGAAAGCTTTACTGAAGTCAAGATATACAACATCAGTTTGCAAACCTTTATCAAGCGCACTACCAAGTTCATGGAGGAAGCAAAGGAGTTGGGTCACAGTTGAGCGGCCACGCAGGAAGCCATGCTGAGCGTCGTGTAGCTGCGGCGCCATGTGGGAAATCAGTCTCGTGAAGATGCAACGTTCGAGTACTTTGCTAATAATACACAACAAAGATATCGGACGATAGTTGGAAATGATCTCCTTGTTACCTTTCTTGAACACCGGCACCACATGGGCGAGCTTCCATTGCGACGGTAGACGACCTGATTGTAATGAGCGATTGAAAATAGAACACAGAGAAGGAGCAATCTCATATGCGCACTCTTTTAACAGCCTTGCTGGAATGCCATCAGGTCCATGTGCCTTGTTTGGGTCAAGTTGGTAAAGAATGGTGGTCACTTCTTCAACAGAGACGGTGATCTTGTCCAGTGGAGGTGAAGCACTAGAATCAACATTGACATCAGGAAGAGATAAATGCTAACATTAGAAAGAATTATGGATAAGATTACTGTGTGGAAAAAATTAGAAAGTTTTACCGAAGAAAATTTCAAAAAATTATCTCAGAATCTGCAAATTGGCCCTTTTTAAAGTCGTTATGTTACCACGGCAACGAGGATATTTTACGAAATTTTAGATATTTCGTAATTTGCGATATCATAGCAGTTATGTGGCCAAGTTTCGTGATCATACTTTGTAAGATGATAAAATAATGGTCTTTTGAACACAATTGCGCATTACACAATCAAAACTGTAGGGAGCCACCTTAAGCTAAACGGGCTTGATATGTACAACCGAGCCCTGAATGATAATCGCATACAACTAATCGACGTCGAGGCCTTAACGGCACCTTATCGCCATGAATACGTTGGACAAACTATTAGGTTCTGTCCGTGGTGTTAGATCTAACCAAATTTCTCTATACCAACACGCATTGGTCGTTATCTTACCTCGCGGATTCACGTCCCTTTGACCTTTCCATATCCAGAAGTTGTTTTTTCAACATTTCATTTTCTTCTCTTAACTATAATTAGTAAGTTATAAAAATAATTATCGCAAATTCTGGCCAAAAAATTGATGGAACGACGTCGGATTAGTACGCGACAATAAACCCTGTAATCACCTAAGCGGATTTTTAAAAAAGGCGGCTTTTGTCAGTGACAGATGAAAAGGTGAGAAATTTTAACGAAAATGTTGACCTAAAGGCTTAAAACAAGGAAAAAACTGATGTCTAAAATTATTTCGAGATTAAAACCTGGTTGCAGAACGATGCTTATGACTTTGCTTATGTCGTATTCTCCCAACATTCCCCCATCGTGCCTTATTACACCATAAACGCACGCGACTCGTTTTTTAATTCTTTTATAATAAAAGAAGAAATTATAGGGCAACAACAAAATTTATTTATTTGATCAATAATGAAATTCTCCTTACATGTTATTTAAGATGTTGCTTAGCAACAAAAACTTCAAAAGCCAGAAGCGTGCATTATGGCCTCACAATGCACGCGCGGTAGCCAATCAAATTGCTCGTTATATCATACTTATATTATAATTTGCATTAAATCGTGGCAAAATTACAGGCATTTAGGGGTAAATTTAGGCAAATCAACCGAAACCGATACCCCAATATATAGTCTGCGTTGCAGGCTAGTCGCTCCTCGTTTCTTTACATCGTGAAAAATGTTCAAGACTCTACGGCACATGCACAGTTGCGACGTATAAGAAAAAATCGGGTGTTCCAGGGGGAAATCTGCGCAAATCTCTTGGAAAAAACCCAAACCGCGGAAAAGCAATGATTCAAAATTTACAGTAACGGTCAAAACTCCTCAATATTTTCGTGAACTTAGCAAAAAGGATGTAGAGCATTAATAAATAAAGCAAGTTAAACTGATTTAAAAACTTTAAATTACTGATCATATACAAAAAGGTACTACACGCATAAATCAAACTACCGCCCGTAAAGTTTACACTATGACTAACTGACTGACTGTTATATCGATGATCCTTTTTGTAACTTGATGGTTCCTTAGCAAACATACATTCCTTTGGTAACCAAAATGGTTACACAAAGGAACACATTGTCCTTTATGTAACTTGGTGTCCTTTATGTAACTTAGGCTGATCCTTTTTGTAACTTGCCATGTTCCTTTTTGTAACATTGGTTCCTTTACGTAGCCTGATACATTCCTTTTTGTAACTTTTGTTCCTTTAAGTAACCTAAGGTGTTCCTTTTTGTAACTTTTTCCTTTAGGTAACTTAATACATTCCTTTTTGTAACCCTGGCCGAATTGTTGCATTATAGCTTAAAGGACTAAAAACTAGGTGAGATTTTGAGTGATGGAAATTAAAACTTGTAGGTATTATCATGAATTATTATCATGTATTAATCAGTATGGCAATTCAGTTCAATTAGAATTATTACCTCAAAGAAAATGCGATGTAATAGTGCAGAATGATGACTGAAGAATTTTTTATCTTGTAAGTTTATTATTTCAGTGCAATTTTTGTTCTATAAAATTTGTTAATATGAAACGTTTTATAAGATGGCATCCCGCGCTCAGGGCAATAAAGTCTATTTAACAATTAGATAACGAGTCCGAGTTGTCTATGAGCGAATAGTCAACGAAGGCGAGTTGTCTAATTGTTTTAGCATGCACCCTGTAGTGGCCTGTACCTAGATATATTAATTTCGAGAAAATAATCGATACACCACAATTACACCAAAAAATAATTTAATTAATTCAATTTTATACGGTCGCGCGAGCGAATTTTCCCCAAACGTTCACCATCACGAATAGACAATGGTTGAGTAGCCAATCAGAATATAGGATTTGTAATAGACAATAGTCGGCCGGGTGTGTACTAAAAACAGTTTGACATTACCAAAAATAAATGCTTAGGTGGTGTGCTTGTGGTGGTTTTGTTTAGCGGGTTAGGAAATGATCAATTTCTAGCAAATCTTGACTGATCTCTGAAAAACGCATTATTTTTTGCTTGTTTTTTTGTTGATATTTTCGCATCAACAACATATTACAAGTTCATATTTATGCATTAGAAATAAACTATTCCTTTGCTTACAGGTTTTTAATAACATCTGATGATCAATTCTGGGGCCTGAGTACGAAGCCAAAAGAAATAGAAATATTTTAATTTATCCCCAAGACAGACTCTGATAGTTTTGTTAAGTCAGTTTAACACTTTTTTGAATCATTCTGGACGAAATGAGAGGAAGATGAGACTTTTTGTTTGATAACAAAAATTATAATAAGGGTTTTGCATATATTTATATTAAGCTATGGAGGAAAATGATCACCCTGTTCTATACACACGCGAATACGAAAAATGAAAAGTGTAAAGATTGTGCACAGAACATGCCATCAAGTCTGAAAAGAGTGGAGATGTGGGTGCGTTACCAGTGGCGTAAATAGAACGATAATTCGGGGGGTGAATATTCATATATCCAGTTCTGCCCTACGGATTCTTTTTGTAATTGCAATAGCTTACAATAGAAATCCGTCGGGCAAAACTGAATATATGAATATTCTCCCCCCCCCAATTATCGTTCTAGTTACGCCCCTGTGTGTTACTCACTGTTTAACTCTAGACTTGAACAATAACGGCATTAGGTAGGTCTTTAGGTCCTATGGCAGCCTCGCCCCGGCGAATGTTTTTGTTTTAACAAGACTGGTCCTATGGATAAATAAAGCCGATTTGTATGATATGATTGTAATAGTAATCGCTGCGTAGGGGTAACAGGAGAACAACTACCCGCGTCAGTGCAGTGTAATGGGTCTATTCAGCGTATATTTGACAAGTATGCAGCATTGTTTTTCGAGAAACAGTGGTAGTTATGAAACAACGATCAATTTTAAAACTGTTGGAGAAGATAGAAAATGAATCAATGTGAGCAAATAGCAAAAGAAAACATAGATGCAACACAAACAAAATACAGTGTAGATAAGATTACTAAAGAAATTTTAATTGTAATAAGTTCGACATAAAGTGATTAGAATAAATTGTAGTCTAACTAGTCTTGTTTTATGATTTATAAATCATAAAACTCGATGTATTACTTAATTTAGCACAGTAAGAACGAGACAGGTTAAATAAAGACAAAGTCAGCAGCAATCTTGACCCAGAATCTACGATTCTACTAGGCAGTCGAATGACTTTTCACAAATTTGATCAAGCCATTTGTTGAGCAATCGTGCATTGTTGCAACATCACTTTCCAGCTCTGGTTGAATGACCTTTGCTAATTGTTTTCCCAGCTCCACGCTATAATAATAACAAACCTTGAGTTATTGGAACGATTTATACTAGTGACGGAGGATCATTCGTATGAGTACGACTATCTAGACGAACTATGTAGATTACTAGGTCAAATTAAACAGAATCGCGCGTTTAGAAAGTGCAAAGAATTGGGAAATGATTTAGTTGGTAAAAAGAGTGCACAAGAGCCGTTTTATGATGCATTTTTCGTTTATCGTCCCCACCCCGTATTTATACTACATGACGGATGATGCGTCAAGAAGAACTACCATTTCAATTTGTCTAAATAGACGAAATATGCAGATAATTCATGTTAACAGGTGATCCGTAATTATAAGTTTCCTTCCTTTTACGCACATGCAGACGAACAAGAACGATCTATCTTTCCCTTGTCCAATTTCGTTGTTCAGTAGGAGTCATGTCCCACTGTCTTCAGTGGTTACCATGGGAAATTGACGAATATTCTTGAAAAAATTTGCAAGAATATACAAAATTTGCATAATGCATTGCGAAAAGTGGCGGGATTTAATTCAGTAACGGTAACTTCGATTTACAAAGTATACATTTTGGCCATTTTGAGTTATGATTTCGGTTAGGTTATTTATTTATTTATTGAAATTCGCCAATTGTAACAATTAATTGACACCACAACAGTGTACAACAATTACAATGGGCCCTTACAAAAAACAGAGTATATTTACCACGAAACGCAGCCATACGATACAACAAGACAGAACGAAACAACGAAACGAAACGAGAAAAAACAAAGCAGAACGAAACAAGATAAAACAGGGAAAACAAAACGTATACAAGATTCAACTTCCACCGACACTGCCACCGTTATAGGTACAATGTAATCTTAAAAATGAAACAACTGCTCGTACTTTGTTTTCTGGAATTAGATTGTGTAACCATTATGATGCTTATTGAAGTAATTTCAATTGCAGTTCTGTCTTGTAGATACATTTGGAAGAAATAGAGCAAAGTTGTCAGGTCGGAGTAGTCATTGTAAGATAGAAATGAAACGTACATGCATTAAAATGATCGCCCTGTGTGCACAATCAACTATCAAGTAAATGCAAATTAACAGAAAATGCTGAAATTCAACCATGAATACAAAGGAATTAGTAAAAAAATAGAACATAAAGCTTAATACATACCCCCACTGGTCAAATGAGTTTATGTCCCATATTTTGCCCTGTACAAATATCTTGTGTTCGTACATAGCTGAAAATCATAAATTAGGGTTAAGAGCTGGAATGTTTAAACCTTACATTGTATCATACTGGTATAACAATTATAAGTTTTCTACAGGGTGTCCCAAAAATATCAAGTCACTCATAACAATGTAATTGTTAGAGTTTAAATGCCTAAGCACTCTGTTGGGACCCACAAGTGTATAACTGTTTGCCATTAGCATTTTTATGCATGATGCAGTAAAATTTGTTTGTACCCCTTTGTCGACTTTGTTGAAAAGCGCATCGCACGTCCGTTGTATGTACTTTGGGTACGCGTATAATTTATCACAATAAACACTGTTGTTCCGCGGTCAGCTGTACCATTTTCTTTCGAAGCAAGAACAAGGCTAATTCAAATTCACAATTTCAAATTTTTCGTATTTAGCATTTTATAAGTTGCATTAAATCCCCATGGGCTAAAATTCGTGACCACGGCATTCAAATTTTAACAATGAGTGATTTCAATAGTTTTCGTTTTTTTTGGGACATCCAGTATAATGAATTGATATTCCTAGGAGTTATTTTAAAACCCAATTATTCGTCGTATTGTACTAGAACACTTACGCAATTACCAGATACCAGCCACATACCTATAAGGGCTCCTAATGAGAGTGGTGTAAGTTTCTGTAGAACAATTGAATTTGTTGGGCGATTACCAGGAAAAACCTGAAGAAAAAAATGCAATTTCTGCGTATAAATCTTTGGAAAGAATCTTTCCTTTTCTACAGCATTGAAAACCCATCTTTTATTTAAATCTCTAAAGTAGTTGATAGTAATAGTAGAAAATTGCTAACAAGCTTCGTTTTAATTCTAGCTCACCTTATGAGGTGTTAAATCTTTAGCATCATTCTTATTCATCCCAGCTGCCTCAAGTTCTTTAGCTACCTCATCTGGTGTCTTTCCTTTCATGAGAGCTTCTGTTTGAGCCAAAAAATTTGACAGTAAAATCTGTAAAAAAGGAGTAAAGGGAAGTGGGGTAGTACATAATAGCATAAATGGCGGTCTTGTGCTTTGTAGGAGTACGTGACTGAGCGTTTAACTATAAGACACGTGTTCTCCAATACAATTTACAAAATAAAGTTTCAAAATGTAAAAAATACGATTGAATTTACGTCATCGTAGTAAAACAGTCTTCCGGTCTTTTGCTGTTTATATCGAAGGTAGCTATTATTGGTGGAATATTCTCGAATATGAGATAGGTAAGTTTGCTGAACGAAAATTATGGCTGGAATGTTTGATCTTGTAAAGTTGACTTTTTGTGAACGCAACTTTGACAAACCTTATGATGTAATCCGTTAGAAATGGGATTGTGAGTTTCAACCATAGCAATAAAATCACACGGAACTACCTTCGTTCCTAAATAAAATTAAAATCCTAGGTTATTTTGCTATGTGAAAGTTAGCGCATTATCACGTGTGCATGAAATAGAGAACCCCAAGCGTCGGGCTTGATGTGAATCAGGCTTTATGCCCGGCGGCAATGAATACGTTTCAATTTGTCGATCATAACAGACCTTGATGAATCAATTGGTAAAAAGCATGCTGTCCGTTAGTGCCAGGTTCTCCCCACACGATTGGTCCTGTTGAATAGTCAACCGTAGTGCCACATGAAGTTGTGGATTTCCCATTCGACTCCATGTCGCCCTTAATATAGGAATTAATACACAAAACAATTAAGAATTAGCAATGGCAAAATACTCCAGTATACTGGAAATTTAGAATGCTCGAACAGAATTATGAAAATATCATTTCAATTTAACCATCGTGCTTCGTATTGTGTTGCATGCTTTTACAATTAGTAATAAACAATTATACAACTAATACAAGAATAATATACGTAAAAAGAATATTATAAGAATAATATTATTTTGCACGTGGTGTACCTACTAGCTTTATGCAAAATTACAAGAATCTTATTAATTATACAAGAGTCAAGCCACAGGCATAGACATCTTGCAATTTGAAGCAGTATTTTAATGAAGCTATTTTTATTTCTCGCCTGCTGGAAGTATGCTGCGAATCGATGTAAATACTAAAAAAAACAGGAACCAATCGTAAGAATTTGCACACTTTGGTCGATTTTTATGAAATCTGTACACGTGCACGTCTATTCGTGTTTACAAGATGTCCCAAAAATAAAATATGTACATAGGCTAAGTATAAAAACTATTTTTAAGCGTTCTGTGGACTATCTTTAATAGTTTGAGAGGGGGGGGGGAGCATTTTTATACATAGAATATAGTTTATTGTCTAGAATAACAGTGGTATTACCAAAAATTGTTTCAACAAAACTCAAGAAGGCAAATTTTATACATGTTTATACCATGCATATTTCATAAGTGCAAGGCGTCCCAAAAAAATACTCTATCGAAATCAGACCTTCCGTTTGAACGTGATTTGTGACTCCTTAGGATTTGATCGATTGAGTTAGTGGCTGAACATTTATAACTTCTTGATCAAAATACATGATAAACAAAATAGTTACGTGTTTAACTCAAAATGGCAAATAACATGCATGCCATACCACGCACGTTCGGAACAAAAGGTCTGGTTATTATAGAGGATCCCGATTTTCAGGCACACTGCATGCAATATACCTGGTCATATGGAAATAAACCATGACTTTGACAGCCAAAGAAATTATTGTACCAGACACCCAGAAGTGCAAGAATAACAGGAATCTAAAAACAAAACAAACAATAATCGTCACTTGCGGTTGATAAAGGTTGATCTAAACCAGTGGTCTACCAAAAGCATGATTATACTTTTTTGTTAAAAACTGTGACAACAATGGGAACGGAATTTGAAGGTTTAAAAATTATTTCAGGTTGGTGGGTGAAAACTCGTTGGGTGTCCTCAACAAAACAGAATTATCATTTGCGCCATTTCATATGACTCCTGCACTGGAAAATTTTAAGTAGTTCTATTATGTTTATGCGGAAATTAAACACGTTCCCGCAATTTTAATTTCAGTTCCTTTCTTTACACTATTAATCGGAAGAACGGAGACAAATCATTCCGGTAATTCTTATCTTGCAAGTCAGTTATCGATAAGAACCTGAAACCTTTACACAAATTTTGACTGTAATGTTAATACTCAATCATTTAATATAAAACTTTGAGTTATTGGCACGATTTGTGCTAGAGACGGATCGACATCCGTCTGGATGAATGATCCGTGTGACAAATAATTCGTCTGAGTATATGAAACAGTTTACGAATGCCAGGATCTTCTGCATTTTTTGTCTTCAAGCGATAAAAGTTATTTACATGCATAGCGTATGCAGATTGGCCTAAGAACACAATGTTTAGATTCTTCAATACTGATAATGTTACATACATTCTTTTCCAAAGGAGCTGAGCGAAAATGGTTATCCTAAAAGAAAAAAGACAACATTGGAAACAGGAATAGCCAGGGCCGTTGCTAGAAGCTTAATTGGGGGGGGGTGTATATTCATATATTCGTCCTATGCCCGACTGATTTCTTTTGTACGCTATTGTACCCCCCCCCCCCCCAAATAAGCGGTCTAGCTACGGCCCTGGAATACTGCGAATAAAGAACAATTCAAGTTCTTCCATATTTTCGATACAAGCCATATCTATTTATTGTTATTCCAGTTAAGCTAATTATAGATCAAAACACAAATACGGCAGGAACTGACAAACACATGCAGTCCTGATGTGAAAGCACAAAAAATGTAGAAAACCTTAAAAAAATTAACATGATATTCATATCTCAAAAAATGGTTTCAAAGGTTGATATTGTGGGTTGATTTTTCCTCAATGATTGTAGAGATGTATAAAATAACATGCTTATATTCACGATTGAAATCTGTGACATGATAGTGCACATAGACATGCGCATTCTGAGCGCTTCCTTTAAGCTATTCATAATCAGGCATTAGCCAGAGATAGGCCACTCATACGATATTTTTTTCAGAAATTTTCAGAAATTCACAAACCTTTTTTTTACGTTGCGTATGAAAATAATAAAGTGATCTTTATACACCACTCATACTTTTCTATCGTACGCAATAGTGTTTTAAAATGGGAATATTGCGACAATTTCGAGCTATTATAAAAGGAAAAACCCACCATAAAATGAGCACCAGCCAACAGTGATTCAAAATTATCCATGCCTGAAAACAAGTTGAAACTTTTACAGAAGAACAAATGGAATAATTCATAAGAATATTATTTTGAAGCATGGAATATGGAAGATAACATTATAAATCATAAAATACTATACAGTATGTTCGTATTATACCCGCATGCCATGATCACACAAATCTTGCACTAAAATTGAACATTAGAACATTTCCAAAATCCAATATTTATCGACACATGCAGAAACTATGAAGTTCACTTACCAATATTTATTGCAATTGACAAGCCAATCGCTGACCATAATGAATAACGGCCACCAACCCACTGGAAAAAAATACAATGCAAAGGTTCAGTATAACAAAAAAAAATAGTAAATGATTTGTGACGTGCAAATGTATCACGGTTGCAGCGGTAATGCAAGGAAAATAACGAATTGAACTAATTTCAAACAAGAAAAACAGCATGAACATTAACACAAACAAACGATGTTCTTTTTTAATCTTTAGATCTTTAAAAATCCTGTTATCACAACAATAGTAAGTTCATGCTCTTGTCTTGGTAGAAAATGTAAGAATATAACTTACATCCCAAAAAGTGAACATATTTTTCTCGTCAATTCCAAAGTCTTTCACTTTTGCCTGTAAATATTAAAGATGACCAACAATGAGAATAAGCATTTTAGTCATTCTCTCGATGACAAAAAAAAACATGTGCAGTTGAAATCAAATTAGCTTTTGGTGGTAGAAACTAGAACATAATATTATGCAATTGTGATTAAAAGATAACAGCTGTGTTGCGATCTAGAACATGAAGCCATGCAATGATGTTTTTATATCTCAGCAACTCGAGTCAGGTTGAAATAGATAAAATGTACTTCCGTACTTAGTTGCTGAAATTGGCTCATATATAGTATTCAAATCATGAATATATAATACATAATGGATAATAGATCACTGTAACATGCTCCCATATAGGTAATACTTTAACATACCGCATTCGTTGACAAGGCTACAAAATGCTTAGCCACAGCTGATTTCTAAAAGAAGTTGAAAATTAAACATTTTTAAAATTCTAATGGTTGTAATAGCATTTCATAATATCAATATCACAAAGCAAATTACTATGGCTGATGGGTATAGACCCATCTATTGAGAAGAATTTTTTATATTTAATCCTGGCAATTTTTTCACGAAATGAAAAATGCTGAACCTATTGTTAATGGGCCAAGATTCAAATCTGCAAGTGAAACAAAGTTCGACGTCGGAGACGGCCGGGTCTTAATTTGACCTTGTAAAATTTTCAGGCGATAAATTATTTAATTCCTTATTCCCTAATAGTCAGGCACACTTTTAGGGCAAATATAAGAGCCTGCTCTACTAACATCTCCAGCAGTATCCAACAGCCATTTTCTTGCAGACGTTGCATTTGTGATGGTCTCAATGGTCGTGAAAGTCTAAAACGAAATATAGAAAGCAGATTTTATATAGGTTATAAGAGCAATCAGCTGATCTGGAAAAAAAATGAAGCAATCAGAAGCCCGATCCTTGACACAAGTGAATTATCATTTACTGCATTTAATAACGCACTGGAAAATTCTTTGAAAATAATTATGCTTATAAATGCATGTTTGCTTTCCATCCAAGTGTACATTGGAATTAAAATAAAATGATCCACTCATTCAAAATTCTCGTTCCAGGATTTAGAAGCTTCCCTTCTACGATAACGAACTTTAAGGCCAATGTTTTCCACTTCAATCGTATAATAAATAATTCTATTTGTCTCTAATATTATTTTAAATACAAAAATTATATATATATATATATATATACGCTACGCTTCGTTACGATACGGTTGAAGTGGAAAACAGATGCCGTAAATGTACGACACGGGGCCGAAGAGATACTCTCGCCTATCCTAGAGTTTCGTAACACGTTTTTTATATACTTCAATCGGTAATCATAGCAAAACAAGAGTTGGTAATTTCTTGACATTTGCCTATTTCTTAGTATCAAATGAATGCCGGTATAACAACTGCCTAAAATAGACAAAACACTTTTCGACGTTTCGACCAGAGGGCCTTGGTCACGAGAGTTAGTATGAAGAAACAAGCGACCGGCAGTTTCTTCATATTAACTCTTCTGACGAAGGCCCTCAGGTCGAAACGCCGAGAAGTGTTTTGTCTATGTTACGCAGTTGTTATACGACATTTGATGCTAAGTTGTTTGAAGGCGCACGTTGCTCCCTGGTAATATTTGCCTATTTCTATTGTATTCGGCTTATTGCAAATAGCTACTCAACTTCATCGGGATAAAAATCTCATACTAATACCTTCGAGGCCACAATAAACAGTGTTGTTGCAGGATTAAGTTTTTCCAAGGTTGTTGCCAAATGCGTGCCATCAATATTTGATACGAAATGAACAGAAGGTCCACCTTTAGAATACGGTTTTAATGCTTCGGTAACCATAAATGGACCCTACAATAACGATAAGTAAACTTAACAAATTATTTATAAGTTATCAAAAGTTACGCATGCAAAAGTTGCCGTATATTCCAGGTCAGTTGGAGATGGAGCATTTTTTAAGATTATCTTTTATAAGCTGTGCATTGCAAAGTGGACAATACCGAAACGACTTGGGCGTGTCTCCAACAACATTAAATCAAATTATCCGACTGGAATTTCGTTTGCACTCTTATGAAACGAATGACGACTACCAACGACGGATGAAATTCAGTCAGCGGCTATATAGAATCAAAATCGGCTTTTTTAAATGGCATCGTTTAAACAAAGACCCGTCAAAAATTATTGTCCACATGCATGGGAAGCCGTCTTAGATGTTTGAATATCAACGTATCATCGATCACACGCAATAAAAACAGACAGTTTGGACCAGTCTAAGAGACGGCAACATCATCGGACAGAACTTGGACAGAACTTGTGATAATTATAGGTTATTATTAATGAGTGTTTTGGGCATTCAAAAATACTTTAATTCCTACGATTGAAAGAGCTATCATCTAAGTTTTTCTCTTCGGATCAGATTTTTGTCAAGAAAAATTCTCGAAAAGCATATTTTTTGATACCTTGGAGGGAAAAAGTTAGAATACATTACCAAGTCAGATCCTCCAATACCAATGTTAACAACATCCGTAATTTTTTGCCCACTGAAACCTTAAATGAATGGAAAAATTTATGAACGAGACACAAGATGAGACTTTATACAGTCTTTACAAAGAGTTCATGTAATCTGTAAGACATTGCATGTTTTCGTATATGTACAGCATATTTGTCAGAAAATGCTTTTTCTGCTTTCAAATGAATTCCGAAATTGTAAATTTGTCATTTAGAAGCTCTTTTTAAAAAGAGTAATTTGAATAATCTCCAATCGTATAAAATAAAATAATATCAGATAATCATATTGACGATTTCCGTTGATGTCGGGTCATATTCCATTCATCAACAGTCGAAATTTCATAAAATTTGAATAGAGTCAACTTCATCAAACCTCACCTTTCCAATCCCCACTACGAACAGCATGACAAAACTTTCTCATTTGTTCCAAAACAGAGTTGACATCATCCATTACCTTAAACAGTTCAACAAATTTAGACCTTTAAATCTAAAGTTTGAACGTGCATTCAGCAGTGCAGGCAAAAGCCTGAGACTAAGGAGGATGCCCACAGTTTTCCCATTGCGACTCATAAGATCAGATGAAATCTTCAGCAGTCGTGAAGGAAATTGCGTTTTCCGGGGAAACCTGCAACTACGCAACGCAATTCTGCGCGTATTCATATATTCATGTTTACATACCGCAGAAAAATAGCCTTGAAAAGAGATCAAAACGCACCACCCTACCCAAATGAGGCTTCTAACTACGACCCTGATACTAATTATGTATGATCAACGCCCAATTTTCGTGTTGCTTTCATTATTAAAGAGAGGGTGTCGAAAACATCAAAGACGCGCAGATTATTATTTAATGGAAATTATCAGTATAATATTATCCCGTAAGCAGCGAGATAATAATAAGGGGGTTGTTGTAGACGAGATCAGCCCTGTTGCAGGGGTGGATCCAGCACTAGTGCACTTGTAATGCAAATTATTGCACTCGTATTTTAGAGAGTTTCATGCAAGAGAACTGCATTCAATTAAATCATTATTTACATCAGCCTAACGCGGAAAATGTTATTTCACCATTTTATTTTTAACGAAATACTGTATTTCAATTAAAAATACCGGTTTATCATTTTGGCCTCTTAAAGGAAGGCTCTCATAATGTATAAAAGCGGTATATTCAAATTTCGTTTAAGAGGTGATAACGTGAATGAATATTCGAAGTTCTATACCTACATTTTTTCCATCAACAAGAATGGGTGTGTTGGAACGATTACGAAGAGCCACGTGAAGAACTGCTCGTTTCTACATATTAGATCATAAAAAATAGATTAAATCTATTGATATACAAAAAAATACTTTGGAGTGTTTTGTGTTACGGGATGTAGCCATTATAGAGGTTTTGATCCATTTAAAAAAGGGCGACTTTTTGTCACGTTGAAGATTATATAATCTTTGTAACATTATAATCTTCAACCTGTCACAGTGCATATCGGTATTTATAAATTAAGAAGCTTGACACTTTTTTAAAAATTACTTTTGGGTATTTTTAAAAGGTTTACGTTTTTGAAAATGATGTAGCTATATGATATGGTTATATATCGTTACCTCAGTAAAATTTATTTTTTCACCAGAAAATAACCTTTCCCGAGCAGCCAGAACATTTCTACTTCCAGCCTGAAATTTGAAATTTATAGTGAAATTACAGCAATATATACTAGGTTACGTGCAAGGTAGGGATTGCTGCGAGCATTTTATTGGGTCCAAGTGAATTGTTATATGAAATGTTAGTAAACTAAACCGTTTTAACTAATAGGAATAGCAGGTTTAAAACACGTAAAGTGAACCTCTATTGAGCGTTAACTCGCTGGGACTGCACATGAATTAATACCTGTTAGCGAGAACACTGTCAATGACGTCAATATATGTAGGTCAATATATGCTATATCAAGGAGTGAACGCTGTGTTGCGAGTTGCCGCTAGTACTTGAAGTCTTTAGGAGCAGCTAGTTTTAAAAATGTTTTAACATACGAATCACAACAGGAGTATGAACAATAATAGTAATATTAGGTAGAATTTTGCGCGCGTAGCGACATTTAAATTTCCCCGCAACAAAGTTGAAAGTATTGTACTTTTTGAAAAGGGAAATTGAATATACACAAATCTTACCAGCTCAAACAAAAGTTTCATTGTTTCCTCTGTAATTATGTTTTTCGAGTAATCCAAGAGTATTTCCCCGTCAGAGGTAGCCACTGACAAACTAAAAAACATTAATTTTATAAAAACTGTAACATTATACATGTTGTGATGAAATGCAATAATAAAACCAAAAATGTCTTTTCAGCTTGAATTTGAATATTGAGGGGGGCTTACTACAAAATCTAACCTGATTTAAGGGATTATGTAAACAGGCTCTTAACTATATAAATGCCTAACCAGTGGTGTAACATTTATCAGAGTGATCAGCAGAGCCTAAGTAAATTATATGGGAGGGGGGATATTCATATATTTGATCAGCATTATTAGTTTTTGGGATATTCATATATTTGATCAGCATTATCAGTTTCTTTTGAAATTGATTGTTTTTACGCTCTGCTAACAATGTTCAGTAAAAATATTCTTTTCAAATCCATAACGAATACCATTGTTATTAAGGTGTTTTGAATTTAAAATTAAGCTGTGTAATTTATTCTGTGCACCCCTAGATCCGCCACTGCTTTTTTGTTTGTTGGAATGTTTGTGAACTAAGCTAACAAGGTAGCCTGGGCACTGGTTATTCAAATCAACTTTAAACTGGTGGCTAATTATCATCTCAGTTCATTGCGGACAATTAACACATCAGTAAACAGCTTTTAGAATAACCATTATACCAGAATAACCATATTCTATGTTTTGAAATTAACCCATTTAATCAATGAATCCAGTTTGACATTTTGCAAAACTCACAGGTGGCAAGATAGGTTTGGGGGTCATAGTCAAAAGTTTGATTGGGTTGTTAGCTTTGTGGAACCAATCAAAAATCATGTGACATGTTTGTCATCATTATGAGAAAGGTCTATTGTAATTAAATAGCTAGCAAATGCACACCATAAAAACTGTAAAGAATTTTGCTAATGAATTGTAGCGTGACAGAATATTATTGATAGTCAGATAAATGATGGGTATGTGGATTAAGATAAAGTCAGTATATATTTTCAAATAATATATATTTATAAAGAAGGACATCCTGTTTGTATGCACTTGACTAAGGAAAAGGTAATTTGTCTGAAATCCATCTCTGTATAATAATTAGCAAACAGGTTAATCAGCACAATTGAATTATTTGGTTTGTTCTATATATGTTCTAATATATTGTGATAATTTTCAAATGGTTACTTAATTGTTGTCCATGTATTGACTCCATTCCCCGTGCATATACACTTGGGTAAAAAGGAGGTGTATTGCCCAAATGATACTAGTTTAGCTCAGCTCTGCTTGAAACAACTGTAAATCGATTACAATCGCCATAAAAGTTCAATTCTAAATTTCTGCAGGGATTATTATGCTGAATGAAAGCATAGTCAACTGGCAGGTATCGATTTTAAAAAATAAATTTCATAATACATACCATACGGAAGGTAGTTATATAACTTTAATAGCACGAAGAGTGTGTTTATTTGGAACATTTAAAGGTCAGTCTGTTTAGTTCATACAAACCTAAATTTGTCAAAACGTTTCGAATCATCTTCGAACAGCTTTCTCATGTGAATCTTTGATCCAACTGCGTCATAGTGTTCTTGCAAAGCTTTAAAAGTTGGATCGTCTCTCAATCTCCTTCCACTATCGTCCATGTTTGACAATTATGTTTGACATGTTATATAACCGAAGTTAATTAATCAATTCATAGTCACTGATTGAAATTGAAAGGAAATCAAGCATGATCCACTCAGAATGCTTGTGACAAAAAATTACCAAAATGACCCAAAAATTACCCTAAACTATGGCAGCTAATGGTAGCTAATGGTGTTTCTGGGTAGCTGTCAGCTGTACCGTCGTACGACTAGGAACCGAGAAACACCAGTAAACAAAACCCTTCCTCATCAAACATGCAATATTGAATATTCAGCCCTGCCCACACGACGCCGGAAGAATTTAAAAACGTTAGAATACTTTTACGGTGACGGCCTGACTGACGGGTTCCGTACAAACGTATTCGGCGTTTCCGTCCAACTGAAAACGAAAGAACTTGAAAACGACGATTGAGTGGATACGTGTGGACGGCTTTGCCGGATAATTTGAAAACGATGTGAAAACGATGACATAACGTATTAAATCGTTTCCATAGGCTGGTTGTTTTCAAATATAGGATGAATAGGCAGAGTTTTGCGCGCGGGATGAAATTATTTGTTACCTGTGCGTTCTCCGAAAAGCAAAGAAAAATTCCGCTCTGCGCATCCCATGTTCTATAAACGCTAAAAGGCATAATACTTCTCGAACCGAGTAATTTTCAAAACTAATATATACCAATGCCTTTTCGGCAAGGCATTTTCTACATGGAGATGAAATGGAAAATTGTGAAAAAACACAATAATTATATATATATTTACATTTTAACAAATTACAATTTGAAACATTTACAATTTACTATAGTCTCTCTCTCTTCTCTCTCTGCGCACAGATATGACCAAGTTGTTGCGGAAACAACTATAAACGTTAAAACCTGAGATATAAGTTTTCATCCTTATCGTATGATTTAATGGCAGAAACAACTACTCAGCATTCCATAGAAACTTGGAACAAAATGGTCTTCGTCTTTTAGAGCCTTATATAAACCATGTTGCAGCGTGTATCGATTGGAGTGAAAAATTGTGACGTTTTTGATAAAAAAAATACAGCAAATCTTACATTTGACTGCAGAGGGTTGCCTAACGCAGCAGAATGAGGGCTCCAATTTACAACACAACTTTCACACTGAAACTGAAGCGTCGACGCCTTCATCCATCCATAACCAGTCGGGCTTTGCACACAAGTAAATTTGTGGGGATGACGATTTTGGAAAAAGCATCATTAATTCATTTCCTGTGATTACCAGTAATAGTCGCCAGAGTATTGATAAGCACTGAATGGATACGCTTTCTGATTGTCCCTGTAGTGTAAAGCCTTGAAGCATTTTCACAAAACAAACTTGGGTCTTCCGACATTAATAGATCATCTCGCGTTAGCCACCTTGGAAGAATAATCATGCACAAGGGAATTAAAAATAAATCTTTATGACATTGATAAAGCCACCGTCCTCTAAATTCCAGGAGGCGAGTAGCTTTTTAGCGGAGACAGAAACAATCATACAAATCTAACGGTAACGCCACTTCTAATACTAAAGGCAGGTGTAATGGGTTGAGGTGAACCCAAAAGCTGGGAACAACCTCTTATGTGAGCCACTAAGCCTCGCGAGACACGTGACTGTAGTACCTACGGTATAACAATGAAAATTACCTGGCGCTGTATATTGAACAAATCATACATCTTTGTCTCTTTGGTCGTGGACGAAATATGTGAAATGGATAGTTACAAACATCTTGTGGATCATCCGCATGTAACATTCTAACGAAACAACGAAAAATAAGACATACGTATTATCAAGTCCAGCTTGCAGAACCAGCTCAGCAAAATTCAAAATCCAAAGAAGTTTACGTAATATGCAAGACACGTACATCAGCACGTGGATGATTGTTACGACAGTAATTTTACCATAACTAGAATGCCGATATAGCTATGCAAGTGACGTAACACACGGTTATTACAGTCAGGAACTACAGCTCAAAGACAGTAATTTTTGAAAATACGGATTCCGTATAACGGTGAAAACATACGATGAGAAAATGAAATGTACATATTGTTGAAATTTAGAAGATCAGCATACGTTGCAAAACGTACTAACAGTAGTGTGCCACTTGAAGCCCGGTATTCATTTAGTCGTAATTCTCGTGAACAAATCATTTTCACCGATGAGGAATAGTCAGGATGTAAATTTGTCTTTGTTTCTGTATTCAAATCGGTCATTGCTTACTGCACACACATAGAAATATTCTCAATCACATCAGCCACCTTGACATGTTCACAATACTCACGACTGATCGAATCCATGCAGGTATTAATAGTTAGCAACTAATATTTGCCTGGAATATTTACCTTAAATCACGAAACAATAGCAAATGCTCACAATCACCCTGGTGCACAAAAACATAGGGATAGCCAAGTTTAATTGTTAAATCCTCAAACTTTGTCTCTTCCATTTTCTTGCTTGAACAAACACCGTATCGAGGTAGCTCGCCATTGTGTTTTTTGTTAGTCCAATCCATTATGAGTCTGGAAAGAAGTGAAAAAGCAACATTTAAGTTCACGTATTTTGGCCGGAAAACGTAGAAAAACATCAAACCCTTTTGGTGTACCTCCAAGGGCGTAACTAGAACGATAATTTGGGGGGGGGGGTGTTTATTCTACCCGCGACGGCCGGGTTTCTATTGTAAGCATTGCACTTAGAAAAGACATCCGTCGGGCAGAACGAAATGTATATGAATAATCACCCCTCCCCTAATCATCGATCTAAATACGCCCCTGCGTACCACTCAAAGTCCTTCAGCTTCATTGTTTACATTATATAGTAGACTAAGGGCTGTTTTCCACTGTCGTGTTTCTTGCACGTACGTACACGCACGCGTAAAAGCTTAAACCTTCTAAGTTGTTGTATAATTAATCTCATGCCAGAAAAAAAACGTATCAAATCATGAACAGAATCCAATCCTATGCATTTGTTCAATCGTTGATTCCATAAGGCTTTACGTTCGTATAGAAATACGCACAAAAACGCGACAGTGGAAAACAGCCGTAAATCTTGAACAGCATTTAGTGTCAACAACAAGCAACAAGAGTTTTTTTTAAAATAATGGAGCTATATTATAGTCACAAATGTCAACGCCATTACCACTGAAATGAATACTATGAATAAAGAACAATACTAAAGTGACCTTTTTTCTCTGCATATACGCCTAGAAATCTCTTTCAACAATTTTGTTTTCAGATTATGTAGTACCGTGTAAACATAGCTAATTTTCTGCTTTCCAGCTTTGCAAAATATTTTAAAATGTTAAAACCGTTACTGGTGCATGTTGCGAGATGATATAAGGTTTTGAACACATAGTACGCGACATAAAAATGAAACACCATGCAATGATAATGGGCTGATCCGTATCTTTTTTGGCGTTTCATCGCCTTCTTAATTATAACCTTGCATATAGTCAATATTATAGATTTTCACTTCAAATCATCGCCTATCCAAACCCAAGAATTTGTACCCAGGAAACCTTTCCAATCACTCTGTCCCAGATACATGTAACAACTTTACTATCACAAAAATCAATAACCATCTCTTTGCATGCATTCTTTCCTCTTACACTTACTTAATAATAAAACGAGAGGTATTCTTCGATACTTCATGCATGCTTGAAGAATGCAAATTTAAATCAAGTCCATGATCCTGACGAGATAGAGTGTTTTGACTTCGGTTGAAATATGCTAAAGCCCATAACAGTTGACTTTGAAACAAAATTGACAACTTACTTGCTATAATCTCGACATAAATCGCTTCTTGTGTCATTGTAGAAAACACTCTCAATGAATATAAAAGCAGACGGGCAAATATCCTACAAAATTGAGACTACATTATTGTTACTTCCTGTAACGGTAATTTAACATACAGATCAACTTTGCCTTAATTGTTGAGCAATTCTTACTGGGCATTGCATTAAACAGGCCAACGGTTAAGCCTCCATGTTAAAGTAATGAAAGGTAAATAATTTTATGGCAACCCAACGTTTAGGAACCAGTCTTCGTTTTCGCAATTTAACAAACCTGTTGCCTAACATAACAGTATTTTTCTTCTTGCACGAGAGTGAATACCATACCTTGCCTGTAGCGATTCTTGCAAAATCGGGATTCTCGCTGTGCTCCCCGACAACAATAGAATCCGCGGGACAATATATTTTGTCACGTAAATCAGTTAATGTCTAAAACGGATAAACATGTCCCGCATTAGGCTGGCATTATATGTATCTTGTACGTGTTACGTGCAAAAACAGCGCATATCAACATATAGAGTACATGGGTTCTATGCAAACGTCACTGCCGTTTTCTTTCAATGAAATACGAATAAGGCGCACGTACGACCAGGCGAGCTGTGTGCATGTTACTTATATTAATTAAAATTCTTGAATTGATTATGAACAGATTTTATGAAGCATTAATAAATGTTCGCCTTCTTTCATATCTCTCTACTATTTGACAGAGGTACTATTGCATGAAGCAGTACTCAAAACTGGGGTTGAGGCTACGTTCGCACAGGATCGACCAGGTGAATTAAGGACCGTGCTCAAATTTGTCCGGTCTCCTCGCGTGAACACGTAGAACCGGTAAAATATTCATTCGTTTCCATCGTGTGAACACCTGAACCGGACGAATTAGAACACGTTTGCAAATTTGTCCAGTTCCTATAACACGGATGGGAATACAGCTGAGGAAAACTACTTCTTTATTGCTTGCAATTGGCGAGCCAATCTTGTCGACTATGCAAGTTTGGAGGCAAGAAGATGGTAAAAAGGTTCTTAAATCGTTTTAGCATTTTATTTCTGCTATGTAGCTAAATATATTTTCGTGATCAACGACTGAAAAAATCATGAATCTTTGAAAAGAATTTAATGTTGATGATTTGTCAAGTGGGTGCGACCGCGTATATACAATACAAGGTGTATCAAGAATTTTCAACTGAACTTTGTCCTTAAAGGTCTGTTGACACGATCCAATGTTGTCGGATCCGATTCACTTCTGATGGATGTTTTATAGTCAGTTGACTTGCAATGTATACAGTCAGCAAATCAACTAAAACCAATGCAGTACTGTTTTATCAATAACAAACCACATTCCATACGTCAGAAGTGAATTGGATCCGACATATTGGATCGTGTGAACGGACCTTAAATCAATATCGTGTAACTTTCCGCAC